CACCACCACAAATAATGCATCAGTCAACATCCTTATATATGTCCCTGAATGGATCTGTGTGAGATGTTCCTTGGATTTTATATATATTGAGGGATGGAATCGTTTAGACATAAGGTATGAGAAAATTTATTTAGAGAAAGTCGGCTCAGATCACTCTTCTGAATAGCTGCATCAATTTTATTTCCCACTAGGAATAAACATGAACTATTCTACCCCTACCACCCTGTTAATAGTTGGCACTACCTAGCTTTCTAATTATTACCAGGAGAATAGGTATAAAGTGATAGCTCATCGTTCTTTTGACATGCATTTTCAGCACTTCAAATGAATTTGAGCATCTCTTTGTTAACTTCTTGAGTTTCCTCTTTAAAAACTGCTTTTTAAATTGTATGCCATGTTTCATTGGGGTTTCTGTCCTCTTCTTATTAATTTGCAAAAATTCCTTTTATAAAGGGTTTAGATATAACCCTTTGTCACTGTGAGATAGTACAAAAATATTCCCCCTTCTGCCATTCTGTTATCTGTGCATTATCTTTGTCTATGATGTCCTTCATTGAACAGATAATTTATTCTGATAAAAATATGATCAGTTTAGAAGTTTAGTTCCTAAATCACAAAAATATTTTCTTGAATTTTTTTCCATCACTTTTCCATCCTATTTTTTACATATATTTAATTAGATCGATGTGATACATAACAACAATCTATACAAAACCAGTTTTTCTAACACTACCAATAAACAATTTATTCTTTTCTATTGATTTGTGCTGCAACATCAAAATATCATTGTGCTAGTTAAATGCTAAAATGTACAAAAATTATATCCTAAAGTTGTCTAATACGTATCAGACAAAATAATATAGTGTTTTATGATTTGATTTTGACAAAGTAGGAAGAAATTTTTACTTTGTAAAAGGGAAATTTGTACGACAATTTAAGATATTCAAATTTAAAGGTGGTAGCCACAAGAAAATTGATCTCTCTATCACAGGAGGTGTTTAAGTAGAGGTTGAATGTTCACACAAAGGAGCCCATATAATGTGTGGTTGATAACTTGGTTCTCAGTCCTCTCATATGCAAAATCAGAGGACCAGGCTGTCTACTATCGAGTCTTACATGAGATTAAGTTAGGCAATTCTGTGCATCTAAATTTCCTTCCGGTTTAAAAGAAACAATGATATTTTTCTAATGTTGTCTTTTTTCCTTTATAGAACATTCATATAATTCTATCAAATGCCTTTGCCCTGGAACCTTATGAAGTAATTAGCATATATCTCCACACATAAAATACACAAAAAACCTTGACTACAGCTTCTGTGTAAATGAGATGAATTATCCCCTGTATTGTTATGCATCAGGATTACCTTTTTCCACCTTTACAAACTACTTGACTAATTTCTTCAATAAAAAATGCATCTCCTGCAAAGTTTTCCAAAGAATTTCATAACTGTCCTTGAAGACATAAAAAGTGAAGGTCTCCCTCCTTCACTCCCTCCCTTCCTGCCAAATTTCTAAAGAGTACTTTACACATATAGGGAAGGGAAAAAAAATTGTCTTCTACCCATCTTGGGTTTTTCAGCTAGGATCCTGTAAATTAGATTGGCCAAAAACAAAAAGTTTACTAATATGTGCATCAACAGGGGAGCACCCAAAGGATGCATATACCACCTTAGACTAAACAAAGGAAAAGGGTGTTGTGTCTTCAGAGAGAAGGAGGCCCATTATGAGAATGTGACCAGGGGAAGCATGGTAAAAAAAGGTTGTTTAATAAGTTTGTTATGTAGATTTAAGTCCCACCTTCTTGATAAGGGTATTCCTCTTCCTGGAGCTGGGGAGAAGGAGACATCTTTACAAATGGAAATTTCCTTTACAGAAGGAAAACTTGTGCCCTGATTTTAAGAGGTTTACCTGCTTCTCAATGGTCTTTAGTTCAAAATAATCCATACACCTAAAAGCATATTATGAGGTGGTACATTCTGGTATCTGTCACACATATCAAGTACCCAATAAACATTTCTACATTCTACTTCATTTTAGTTGTGTGTGTGTGTTTTTAAACCTGACTAGATGCAAAAATTTTGTATATAGTGGGGGAGGAAAAAGTCAAGTGTTAGTTTCAAATATTATTTCTGTGCCAGAAGAAAAGAAAAAGGTCTCTTTCAAACATTGATGTCATTAGCTACAAAATCATGCCAAAGTCTTGCCCTATCCTGCCTCTCCCAAAATAGTCCTTTACTATAAAATAGTGAAAATTAGCATATAAATTAAACCTCACATTATTTTGTCTCTGCCAGAGACCTTAGTGATACAGCTCAAGTTAGAGAAGTGTTCATAGGAAAGTGACATTTCCCGTCAGAAAGCTGGAAATTCTGAGGGCAGCGAGCCCATTACTAATGAGCAAGTGCATTTGCACAATAATTGTGTTGAGAAGGTTATATTATAGCAATATATTACTTTCCAGCACTATTTGAGCCTGGGTTATTACACTGCAATGAAATGCCTGGAACAACAGTAAGATGCTATTTGATTTTCTAATTATTATTGAAGAATGCCTCCTGAGCCCAGCCTCGAAGGCTTTTCTTTTGAATCATCTGCAGCTCACGCTGCTTCTCATGCATTATACATTAAACCCATATGGTCGTTTGGGGTGGAGGGTCTCTAGAGGGAAGCCCCATATTTCTCTTTTCGCTGCGGGAAGGAGAAAGGTGGGCAACACAAGAAAGAGGGAAGAAGGCTGGGACTAGTGAGATAGAAGGAAGGAACACCACTGGGCAAAGTTCGGAATCGGGCAAAGGTGGGTCAAATTAATAAACATTAAAAAGAGATGGGAGCCACTTCAGAAGATTTGTTGTGTTTAGGTTTTTGTTGCTAAGCTGAGAGATCTCCTGAACAAGGCTGCTCTCTGAATCTGTCAGTTTCTAATAAGCATCTCAATCCTATCTTTTGTTAAAATGAGAAAGAGCTAGAGCTATTTGGCAAAATGGTGTACACAGTTGAAGCTTGATTTTAATGGAATTATGTTTAAAATATATATCTAAAGGCATTTATGCAATATAATACATACAAAAGTATTTCCTAATTTTGAACAAATATATGTAATTTATTTTAAAAAGAAATTGTAGATATTTTCCAATATGCTCAACACCTTCCCCCTTTTAGCAGAGATAATAGATTAGTCATTCCTCAGAAATAAACCATAGAAAGAATTCCTTCAGCTATTCTCAACAGAGTAATGCATCTAAACTCTAATTTATGCAAATCTTGAAACTTACACCTATTTATTATTTATTTTTATTTCTATGCCCTGAAATTGTTGGCAGCAAAAATAGCACCAGGTGTTAGACCGGTAGAGTCAGACCAGACCTTTGTTCAGCAACCTGGGTACTTGAGTTCTGGCTCAGAAAGAATTCAGAGCCAAGACTCAAAACTATAAGAGAAAGTTTATTTAGAAAGTCGCAAAGGTAGAAAAAGTGAGCTGTAAAAGAAACAGGCTGAATCAACAAGTTATAGGCAAAAGAAGGCCCTTAGAGCTTAGGAGAGAAGACAAGAAAAACTTGCCTGGGGAAAGGCGCAAGTGTGCTCCATAGAGAGAGAGCTGCACTGCTTCCTCTGTCTGGAGGTTATTTACCTAAAGGTCTCAGGGGAGGGTCCCAATATAAGATTCATCAGTTTTCCATGTGTGCCTTTACAAGGTCATGGTCTCCACTGATTGTTCAGTGCCAGGGCAAGGGGTCATTAGTCAATGCAGATGGTCTGGGTGTCAGCCATGGTGTTGCTTGCCTGGCTTTGCTGCTTTTCTAGGCCTGGAGCTAAAACATAACTGAGGTCTAGATGCAGGTCAGAACCTCATTGCCCTGGGGGCTTAATGCTTAAGGGCTATCCTCCTATCCTCTTGTTTGGTCCCCCTCTATGGGCCAGGGGAGGAAAGGCCAGGGGAGGGTCTGAATCACATAACCAGCAATAGACAAGGGAGGAAAGGTCACCCTGGGGGCAAGGTCCCACCCCAGTTTTGCCCATTGCTAGATACCAGGGCTTTCTGCCCTGGTGACTTTCTGCCCTGGCCCATTATCCTTGCTCTGATCAGGTCTGTCTAACTGCCTACTGCAGAATTAGTTATATTTTTCAGATACTATAGACTTTAAAGATCAAATAATAATCCTATCCTAATATATAAAAAGCCAGGGGCCGTCACAACCGAAACAACAGGATGGACGACCAAACAGCAGGCTGCTTGGGGCAACCAAGCCGGCAGAGAGGTTAGTGAGGGAGGACCAAATGACTGAACAGCAGGCTGCGTGGGGTGACCAGGCTAGTGGGGGGGGGGGGGGAGCAGTAAGGGGCAACCAAGCCGGCAAGGGGGGTAGCCGTTGGGGGTGACCAGGCCAGCAGGGGGAGGGGGCAATTGGGGGCAACCAGGCTGGCAGGGGGGGCAGTTGGGGATGACCAGGATGGCAGGGGGGCAGTAGGGGGTGATCAGGCAGGCAGGCAGGTGAGCAGTTAGGAGCCAGTGGTCCCGGATTATGAGAGAGATGTCCGACTGCTGGTTTAGGCCCAATCCCCGGGATCGGGCCTAAACAGGCCATCGGACATCCCCAAAGGGTCCCGGATTGGAGAGGGTGCAGGCTGGGCTGAGGGGACCCCCCACCCCCGTGAATGAATTTCATGCACCAGGCTTCAGTATAATAAAAGCCCAGCAACCATAATGGCAGAATGACCAGAATTACCAGTCGACCAGTCACTATGATGCACACTGACCACCAGGGGCCCAGATGCTCAATGCAGGAGGAGGGGAGGGGGGCGTAGTGAGGCCTGGAGGTGCATTCTATGGCCCAGGGATCTCAGAAACCCCGAGCCCAGAGCTTGCTTTTCAATAAAAATAATAAATTGGGCGGGGGGAATGGTTGATGCTGCCACCCTAAGGAAGAACGGCTCCAGGAGGGAAAGGCCTCCCCAGGCCTCACCTGGCCCAGCTGGCACACCACAGGCTCACAGGGACTTACCAGTGACGTGCAGGAAGTGCAGCCCCTCTGGCTTTGTGGTCACACTGACAGCTGCTCCTTATCCAGCTCCATGGTGGCTATGGCGCTGCCAGGCCGCCTCCGCTCCGACTTCCAGCTTCTGGCTTCCTGCCCACCTCTTCACACACTACATGTGCTTGGGGGCATGGCTTCGGCCTCCCCAGCCAATAGCGCTGCAGCATAGCCAGAGAGTGGCAGGACTTAGCCACCAGCACTGGCTGGGCATTGATTTGGCCGTGTGACCGACGTCCATGTGCAAGTTACACTGCATGTTTACATTTGTAGGGAAGCAGGGCAGCTGACTCCTGCCACCTGCATCACCTTCTAGGCTAAGAAAGGCCTGCTGATCTCTGTGTTCCTCCTCCCATCCAGACTCGAAACCTCTTGGGGATGAATGATCCCAGCGATGGCCCCAACACACACTTGGTGTCACTGTCACAGACATTACCAGTCATTACAGCCCGTTCCTCACCCTGAAGTGCATGAATAATTGATTGGTTGCCTCCTGCCAATAGAGAATCATTATTGGCTGCCTCCTGCACGTTCTAATCTGGGGATCAAAATCTCCCCTGGCCCCTCCCTCCACCCCTCCCAGTCAGCAGGATCCCAGTGGTGGTGCAGCACCAAGGGGAGGAGAGGGGGGGAGGCAGGACACCATGGGGTGGGGGGGTGCCAAGGGCAGCATCGGCGTCTGGCATCTGTTCCTTCTGCAACTAGCCTGGCCACCATCACCTCCTCTCCCGACCCCACTGGGTCTTCAGACGCTGATCAGCCTGGCCCTGATCGGCCCTGATCACCTGCCAGACCTAGGGACCCCACCGGTGCATGAATTTCGTGCACCGGGCCTCTGTATCAAATAAGAATTGAAGCACTAACCACGTGTCAGGTCCTATCAGATATCTATATACTAGGTGTACCAGTTAATAATAGCGGATTTTGTAATCAAAGAAAACATGATAATTTCAAGAGAAACATCAAAAGTGCTTTATTCAAAGTAATGTCCATCACTAGCAACACATTTCCCCATCTTTCAGGTAATTTGTGGATATCGTCCCAATAGAACTTTTCTTGTTTTTAGGCAAACCATTCATAGACCCAATTTTCCACTTCTTCATATGTTTTGAAGTGCTGCTCAGAAAGTACGTGTGCCATTGATTGGAACAAGTGGTAATCTGAAGGAGCAAGGTCTGGTGAATACAGCAGGTGGGTTAATACGTCCCAGGCAAGATCTTTTAATATGTCTTTAACTGGTTTTGAAGTGTGTGCTGGCATGTTATCATGATGCAAAATTATTTTGCTGTTTCTTCTGGAATATTCTGGTCATTTAACTATCAAAGCATGGTTAAAATTGTCGGTAGTGATCGGTATTAATGGTTTCACCTGGTTTTAGAAGCGCATAATACACCACACTTTCCTGATCCCTCCAAACACAGAGCATGGTCTTCTTTCTGAAGCAATTTGGCCTTGCAGTTGATGTTAATGGTTGTCCTGGATCAGCCCATAATTTTGTGCACTTGGGATTCTCAAAATAAACCCACTTCTCATCACCAGTCACAATTCGATGCAAAAAAGACTTTCTTTCATGCCATTGAAGCAACATTTTACTGATAACTTTTCAGTTTTCCATTTGTGTTTCATTCAGTTGATGTGGCACCCATTTTCCTTCCTTTAAAATCTTTCCCATTGCTTGTAAACGATCGCAAAATTGTTTGCTGAGCAACGTTTAATCTTTCTGCAAGTTGTTTTTGAGTTTGACACGCATCTTCATCCAATAATAATTGTAATTGTTGGTCTTCAAACTTTTTCGGTTGACCTGGATGTTCTTTGTCTTTCACATCAAAATCATCACTTTTAAAGCATTTAAACCAGCGTTCACAAGTATCTTGAGATGGAGCATGTTCAACCATAAGCTTCCCGAAGTATACAATAACTTTCAGCAGCACTTTTCTTCAAAATAAAGTAATGAATTATAACTTCCCACAAATGCTCTTTTTTTGGCACAAAACTCGACATTTTTAAGTGTGAAAATATCTATGATGTTAACACCTTAACCAAATTTGACATATGAAGTTTTGAAGCTTGTTGTCAATACAACAAAATAGCATACATATCAAATCACATATATATATTAACATATGTGTAACTCCATCTATTGAAAAAAATTTGCATTATTAATTAGTACACCTAGTATATAAAAGCTAAGCTATTGACTAAATGACCAACCGAATGACCAGTCGACCAAATGACCGGTCAACAAGTCGCTATGATGCTCACTGACCACCAGGAGGCAGATGCTCAATGCAGGAGCTGGTGGTCAGTGTGCTCCCACAGTGGGAGCACTGCTCAGCTGACCAACAGGCACTAGACGCCGGACTCACGGCTGATCAGCACAGCTGCAGCAGCGCGAGCCTCTCCCACCTGCACGGCAGCACTACCAAGCAACAGCAGCAGCAGGTGCAGCAGGGCCAGGATGAGTGGGAGCAGTGCAGCGCCCGGCCTGGGCTCGGGCTCCTCTCTGGCTGCCTTCCACTTTGCGCACTACTACATCCCTTGGTGGATGTCGGAGATTGGGCCAAACCTAGCAGTCCAACATCCCTGAGGGGTCCTGGATTGCGAGAGGGTGCAGGCCAGGCTGAGGGACCCCACTGGTGCACGAATCTGTGCACTGCGCCTCTAGTTTATTTATATTACTCTTATTATTTCCACTTTATATATGAGAAAACTGAGGCTTAGTATGCTTAGATGAGTCAGCTCAATAAAGTAAATGTTATAATTTAAATATTAATTATTATAAAATGCAAATTTTACTTTTGTTCTTTCAACTGGACACATGAATTAATGTAATTTCACTTTTAACTTGATTAGTCATGTTGCCCACAGAAATAAATACAGCCTTGAAATTTATATTTATGGTGCTTCCTTTCCCATAGGAAAAAAACAAAACTAAATAACAATAACAAATAAAAAACATATGAATTAAAATATTAATGATATTTCAGTCAATGGGGTGTTAAATGTGATCCCACTCATTTCAATTTATCAACACCTCTGTATAAGTTGGGCAACATTGTTTCTCATTTGTAAATGTTCATTTTCCAATTAAATAACTATCACTTAAAAACTCTGATGTAGTTTAGCAAGCATAAGGTTAATGGAAGAGAAGTGTAAGAGAGGAAAATGTTTACTCCATTCTTCTAGGTTCTTTGGCTGGTCTAATAATTAAATTAACATGACACAGATTAACAATAGAAAAACAAATTTAATTTCATACATGCAAGAGCCTCACATAGACATGGGATGCTCTCTGACAGTCAGGCAATTGAGCTTATAAGCCATCCTGAGCTAAGGAGAAGTGTGGAGGTGTCTGAGGCTACAAAGGGAAGAAAGACGATTCACAAGAAGATGGGAAGAGTAAATGTTTGGTAAACAAATGTTGGCCATGCAGAGACAATGGCACACAGAGAAACTGGAACAAACAAGCATGGCTGAGCTCTCCCCAGCTTACTAAACCTAGCCCATACTCACTGTAGTTCTCTCTGGTGACAGTTCTCTTCTTGAACCAGATCCTCTATCTAAATTTGGGGGGACAGTTAAGGAGGGGTAAAAAGCTCTTCCTGAGTCTTTTGGGCCTTGATTGTCTCCAGCTCAAAATAATCCATATACCAAGGTGGCACATTTTGGGGTGACCTGTTCTTCCCCCCTTTAGGAGCATGCAGATGGCTCTGAACAGATCCTCCATATTTATTCTGAAATAGAGCAGGACTCCAAGGTGATATTCCATTCTACTGTTCCCATAAAGATGGTGTTTTCTCTTTACAGTCCCGGCTTCTTAGCCCTGTGCTCTTACAGTTGGGAACTCCAGTGAGCTCCAGATCTCATTTTCTCACGCTCCTCGGTCAATGATGGACCAAGTCTCTCGCTCATGGCTGGTCTGTAGTTCAACCTATACCTTGTACAACATCTATCCCTTATTAACCAGGATGAGGTATGAACCTGCTGCTACAAATTATCGAGCATATGAATTATGATATTTGCATAAAAACTCACAATGAATTGTTTTAAACATTAAGCTGTGTGACATGCAAAGTCCTGAGCACTTTCCTTTTGAAATAATATAATCAGAAATTTGTTTGTTTCTGATGAGGGCAAATAGTCCTCAGAAAATATTAGTTCAATTACAATCAGAAAAAGCAAAATTTAAAAAGAAGTATATAAGTACTCACTGTTCCACTTTTTAAATTAGGAAACAAGAGCTTAAAACTCCATTTAGTAACTGTAATTATATGCAATTGTAGGGAACAAAAAAATAATTCTCCCTCTTTGTTTATGAGTTCTTGGCTGACATACCCCCACCCGATAATAAAAAGACAGATTAACAAGAGAAAATAACGTAAGTTTATTAGCATAGATACCTCATGTGCACATGGGAGATAGGGAAAAATCAGTAACTTCCTAAGGTGGCCTAGCCCATAGCTTATATATCATCTTCAGCTAAAGGTAAAATAAAGAAAAGGGTATGTGTGTGTTGGACAGGGAGGTATGGGTGAAGGCCAGTTGTGAGAGGTTACCAGAAAAGTCCTGGGTAAACAAGGGTAAAGTTTGCTATGCAAATTTAAGTCTGTGCCTTCTCCATTGCCAAGTCTCTCGTGATTTAGTCATCCTTTTGCTACACAGAAGCAGACACCCTTACAAATGGAAATTTCCTTTATAAACATTAATTTCCCTTACAAAAGGCTAATTTATACTGTTTACAGAGCTCATCCTATGTCTGCTATTTCTCAAAATAATCAGCTCCAATAATCCTTATATCCAAGAGGCATATTTAGGGTGGCATATTCTACTACTCTTTACGATGTAGTTATTTATTCATCTGTGTTCTCCACTGGATTGACTTAAAGCTAGAAAACATTTCATGTGTATTTATAATCTTCCTCCATTTCTACTAGTGCTTCACAATGCCTGGTAAGTAGTAAAATTCAACACAACTTATTAGATGATGACTCAATAAACAGCTATATAAGTGAATGTATGAATAGGATGATAGGAAAGAGAGCTTCAGAAATTATTATC